GACACTGAACAGAGATGTTGAAGATTGCAGCATGGCAGGTCCCACATTTGTATGATCAGGAGGTGAAAACTGAACTTCCCATGGGCATGCAGGCTGGTGTCTTCATGTGGTTGTGAGAACACGCCACGGAGCACCATCTTCCTGCGGTTTTCTGCCCCACTGGAAGTGATGTACCTCCCTGGAGAGGTCAGGGGAATCAAGCAATGTGTAGGTCCAAACCTCAGGATCAGAGCTAACCACGACTCCTCTCACTGGAAAGGCTTGGTTTCATTCTGTATGTGTTTGCAGGAGAATTGGGGATGATTAGCCCAAAAATTCCATTAGTCTTGAAAAACTGATTGTAATGATTATGAAGAGCTAGGAATAATATAAAGAAATATTTCACCAGGAGTGAGATAAAGAGAACAAGGAAGCAGACATTATGGACACCACTGGTTTCAGGAAAGAGTCACACTTTTGGTCTAGTATTTTCAGCTCAGTGTTTTTGCACTCTGCCAAAGTGGGAGGTAGACCACAGTTTTAGGGAAGGAAGAAATAGCTTAACATTCTCCTTGGACAAATTTAATTGCAATGCAGAGGACTGCCAGAGGCTCCTAATGACAGGCCTGGTGGTGGTATGACACCAATGTTGATCCTGCACCCACTTAAATGTCTTCAACAGTTCCTGGTTCCAAAAGGTGGAGGGCAGTGGTTAAGGTTCAACAAAAGATCAGTTCAGAGTTTAATTTGGAAATGCAGTAAGCTTATTTGTTGTTCATCCCGTTCTTACAGCAAGCCTCTTTTTCTGACTTTTTCCCAACACAGTCTCAGCTGGACTTAGAAGTGGGGGAAGATGGCTTGCCAGTGCCCTACAGCAGAAACTGGAGATGGGAGACTCCAGCTCAATTCCCTGCTTCATCCTATATATCCTATATGGCCTTGGGAAGCCACTTGTGCCCAGATCATTGCAGCTACTTAACATGTGTATCTCTCACTGATTTTACTGAACTCAAAGGGAACCAGGCATGTAAGTAGCTTAATTTCTCCTTGCCCCAGATTCCCGTCTATAAAGGAGAACAATAGGATTTCTCTGTCTGCTGAGGATATGCAGAGAATGAATAGACTGAAAAAGTTCTCAGAGACTAAAATTACGAGGACCAAAGAAATACTTAAAACAGTTCATCAGAATGCAAACTGTGATCTATGTGCTGCTCAGTAAAAATCAAGGTTTTAATTGTTGCCAAGAAGGCTACATGTCTTGCAGTTTCTCTTACTGCTCTATTGGACAACCAAGTAATCAGCACAATTGCTAATTTTAACAGTGCCTTCCCACAGCCAGGGAAGTGTTTCTGCCTCATTTTATGTGCATAGGCTGTGAGTAGCAAAGTGGGTTCTGTTACTTGTCACCCTGTGACATACAGTATAGCTACCCCATTTGTGCCTAAGTTATATGATTTATATAGTTCTTAGTGGCCACTAGATGAAAATATAAGCATAAATTACTGTTACTAAAATGACTACTGCACTCCAAATTGCTGAGGGAGTAAATTAATCCTTAATCATAGAATCACAGAATCATAGAATCATAGCGTCATAGAATATGCTGAGTTGGAAGGTACTCATCAGGATCACTGAGTCCAACTCCTGGCCCTGTGCTGGACACCGCAATAGTTACACCACGTGCCTGAGAGCATTGTCCAAACACTTCTTGAACTCAGACAGGCTTGATGCTGTGACCACTTCCCTGGGGAGCCTGTTCCAGTGCTTAGCCTCCCTCTAGGTGAAAAACCTTTTCTTGGTATCCAACCTAGACCTCTCCTGACTCAGCTTCATGCTGTTTCCTCAAGTCCTGCCACTGGTCATGAGAGTGCACTGCTTCCCCTCATGAGGATGATGAACACCCCAATGAGATCTCCCCTCAGTTTCCTCTTCTCCAGGCTGAACCAAGTGACCTCAGCTGCTCCTCATACAGCTTCTCCTCCAGACCCTTCACCACCCTCCTTTGGATATTCCATAATAGCTTCATGTCTTTTTTTATATTGTGGTGCCCAAAATGTGGATATTTCAAATAGTCAGTGGTTTGATACTTAACATTTTTATTTCAAATCAATAACCAATAGTACCCGAAGCTTCTTGTGATATATACGTATATATCTATATCTATATATATCTCTATATCTGGAAAACTGGTATTTTATAGGGAGTGGGAGGCACAGCCATGCAGTCATTGCTGTCACTATAAATTATTGCAAGTATGGCCTTAGACAGAAAAAGTGCATCTGACACTGGGAATTTTGTGAGTTTCTTTTTTTAGAAAAATGCCTTGAGGATGAAATGAGCCTGTTTTGCCAAATGCTTTAGCAATAGTTGTGTTATATTTGTTCAGTTATTTTGGCAATATATTCAAAAATAAAAAGGAATGAGACAAGGGGAGAAAGAATGGGATAAAAATGCAAGAAATTTTGTGAGGAGGCTTCAGGGAGATTATAGAAAAAAATGCTTTTGGGATGAAAAAGCACTAGCATACTGTGGAGGAGGGCCAGGATTCTGCTAGTAGTGTGTTTTAAGACACATATGGTTAATGGAGGCATAGGCTTCTTTCTGAGCCTCTACGTTTTCTTTCATATGCCTGGAGAGGCCTAGATAGGGGCTTATGAAAGTAAATGTGACAAGTAGGCATGTGTTGGAGCAAGGGCAGGCTTGGAGGCTGGCCACGTATGCTGCAGGTGGCCAGTCTTTCTCCCCATTTATTCTGGAATTGCTTGCTGATTTGTTGTGCTTTACACACTAAACTCCTGCTGAAATCCAGCCCCTCAGTACTAACTTGCAAAGGTCTGTACCAGGTCACTTAAGGTTGTCCCTCCTTCCTAATGAAGGCTGGTGTGCACCTGATCTCAGTATCGTCGTCTGCCCATGGAGGTCCTCTTTCAATAGGAGTCATGTGAAGGCCTGCTATGGCAGGGCTTTCCTGCAGGCTCCAAAATCTTCCCCAAAGAAACAGATTCCACTGCTTAAGATGCTCAAATTCCAGTGCTTTGCCATGAGTCTTCTCAGTGGTGTTTCCATTTCTACTTAGGTCATCTTACACAGACCTTTAGCTGTACATCAAGTTACCCCCCTTAAGGCTCTGCAAGTCCTCCCTACTTCCCTCTCTCCTTAGGGAAATATGGATGTGCAAGGAGGAAATAAAAAAGTGCTTGGGGGTAAAGAATGGAACAGTACAAGAACTTTCCCTTTTTCTGTGCCTGGGAGAAAACATGAAGAGTACAAAAAAAGAGCAATGTAATTCCCTTCAGATTCGTCTCCTAGTTCCAGTTACTATCATACCTTTAAGCATCTCCTTTTGAACGAATGAAATTTCCACTCCGATAATCCAAGATGCCTGCAGCCTGACCAAAAGACCTGAATTTGCACAAAACACTGGCACATTTCCTCAAAGAAGGAAAAGTGGCCTATTGCTAGAGAATATTTATAGAGAAGAAAATATCATATAACCTTCAAGTGTATTAAATAACATGTCATTTTATTACTGCCTTTAAGGAGCAGGTGCCACTTGGTATTATTTGAAATGGCAGTCTTATCAGGCAGTGTAAGTCACAGCTTCTCAAGTCCAACTCACGCACTAGAAATTAGAGTAGCTAACCGTCTGTGTCCACTCTGATTACCTTGATTGTCCCTTAGAGTAAAGTTAGGATTGTTGGCTGCCTCTGGAGCCAGGCTGTAGTAGAAGTGCTGACCCTCCTGTGGGTCATCCCTGTCGATGGCGCTCACAGTCTGGATCAGCTACAGCATATAATAAAAAAATAGAAACAGGTGATAAACAAAATATTCATAATATGAATGAATAAAGAGATAACATATTTTATATGTATAAATATAAGAAACTGGAGCATTTGAATAAAATTATCTTCCAGAAGTATAGTAGATAAATCACGAAGAAACTCAAAACCTTGCAGGCTTCATCTCTTTTGCTGTGGTCATGCAATCTAGTCATGCACATCCCTTTTAAACAAAGGAGGAGATATTCAATTTGCTTCAAATAACAGACAGTTTTCTCTCATGCATCCCTATCTTCTGTTGCACATTTCTTTTTGTCTTTTGAGGGCCCAGGGTTCTCAGAAGATTCATTGTGCATTAGAGAGCTTGTAAGAAAGCCCATACTTATTTTCATCTTCATTTTGCAGGTAGAAAAGGATGTCAGGTTGATTATTTTACCACTCTTTTAATTTTAAATCAATAAAATTCTCCCCACAATGTCAGTAAAAAAGAAAGAAAAGCCAACCATGCAGGCATTCTGCATATGCAATAAGTAAAACCAAACTACAGAAAGTAAGACAATGCTTAATCCAGAAAACAATTTGTCACCTCACCTATAAAGGCTTTGTAAAGTGGGTCTAACAGCTTGAAGCACAATGAGCTCTGTCTGAATAAACATTCTGACATCTTTTTAGACAAGGAATAAATCTTCACCTGGATTTTTTTACTTGAAAGTTATTTTGGGATTCAGAGGCAAATGACAGACCCATAAATTCTTATTCACCACCTTAAAACTGATTTTGGAACTTTTTAAAATGTGGCATAGAATTTGGCTTTCTTTGCTGAAGGAAGTTGTCCAAATTATTGTGCATAGCAATAAGCTCAGAAAGTTTATTATTTAGGACACTCTCCCTTCAAAACCAGGAAAAAAGTCTAGTCAATGATTTCCATTCCCTATATTATTAAGAACTTCTGTAAATTAGTGAGATGAAAGTATCCTGTATATGATAGTTGTGATGACAGTTGTTTCAGCAGTGAGTAGCTATTTCATTCTGCTTCACACAGCTGGGAGAAGCTTCAGCAAACCGTCACAAATCATGAGTGGTGTGTCTATGTGTTTATACTATACTAGTCAGCTTTGCATTAGGAGGCACCAGTCACCACTGTGGACCCTGGGTGGTGAAGCAAGAGGTCACCTCCCCACAAACGATCAGCAGTAGAGCTTGCACCAGGTCCAGTGAGGGTGAGCTCATGTCCGTCTGTGACACCAGTGACCTTGTTCAAGGGCTTTGATGGAGTTTTGGAAGGGAGAGGAGTAAAGAGGCTTCGCCACTTGCTTGAAGGTGCTGGTTTACAGTGTGTGAAATAGGAAGTCTTGTGTTGTTTTGACTCTCTGTCATCTCCAGTTCACAGCAAAACATATTCTGTTTAGCACCCTTTTGAAGCTGATGTTATGTCCAGCTCCCGTAAGATCACGTGTGCTTAAGGCTCTTGTAACACTTAACAGCAAGACTTGTCTGTCACGTGTGGTCTAGGCTGATTCTGTGGCACTTCTCATAACAATTCTCTCTTTGATGCTGCTACAGGACAAACCAGGTGTTTGCATGCTGGAAGGCCTATCCAGCAGAAGGCTTCATACATGCAACCATGAAATGTATTGCAGAGTGAGCCTAGAAACTACTGTAGGAGAAAAAAGGAGGTGTGGGAGAGAAAAAAGAGGTGCTATATATGATGGTAATCCCAGTGCAATATGCTTGCCTTTGGAATGAAGCACAGTCAGCTGCTGCTGAGAGTTCAGATGAAATGGGTGGGTAGCTGAGCCTTTTTTCCAACACTCACCCTTTCTGGCATGCTGTTTCCATGTAGAACAACATCCCCTTCCCAGCCCCTGGTGTTACAAGCATTTCTCACCTGGCCTGCTTTGGCATTTTCACAAACAAAAGCTTCATAAAATCTTGCAAACTCTGGTGCGTTATCATTCACATCCAGGACTTTCACTGTCACAGAGACGCTGCCCACCTGCGAGGGGTTATCTGGAAGGAGGAGGTATGATATAAAGAAAGGCAATATGTGGAAAGGGGAAATGGCTGCTTCTCACTCTGCTCAAAAGGTAAAGCAGGTTTTTTCCTACTAGCTTGCATTAAATGACATTTTCCCATTGGGAACTGTGGTAACTTGAGGATTGTGTGACTCAGAGTGAAGTTGCAAACGCTGCTCTCAGTCTACCCTGGCTTCCCGTTTAATCCCATCTTTTACAAACAAATTCTGTAAAAGGCTCCAACCTGGTTCAGTCCTATGGAACTATTTCTATAACAAAAGTTTTAGACAATGCCCCTTTCACTGGCCTTTGACTGTGCAATACTATTCGTTGAGCCTCTGTACTGGTGGCACAAATTAGGAAGGGACTCTTTTTAAGGACAGACTTGTTATTTAGAGCTTGTTAAAAATGGCAATTCTCCAGTTCAGACATGCTTTTGCTCAGAATTTATCTTCCTTGAACTTAAAAACAGTGTCAAGTCTTTGATACTTTGTACAGAGGGGTTTAAAAAGTAATAACACATGAAATTGTACAGAAAAGCTTTCAGTGAAGCTTAAAATTGCAATGAAAATTTTACATTCTGCATGACATCATTTGTGATGTTTCTGTCCCACTGGTTCATTAGCTTTCTTTGCCAGTAAATCAATACATCATTTCACATATCTTCACAAATTCCAAACTAGGTGGCCACAGAATAATTTGTTTTTCTTACTCTGTTTTTCTGCCTCAAATCATCTTCCACTCCCCCTTATTTAATGATAAATTTAAACTCTAACCAGAAAGAAAAAAAAAAGAAGAGGTCAGAAAAAGTGCAAAAATCCAGAAAATTCTTTAAAATTAGTATTCTCATCTTCTTTGTAGCCATACCACTTTGTGCATTTATCTCCAAATGTATTTCCCTTTATATCAAGAAATTATATGATCATACAAACGATAGAGAGTTTTCTTAAATGTTCAGTGTACTGTGTTCCATAACGTGTCACATTGTGTCATTGAGATAACACTCAAACTATATTGTTTCTCTCTAATTTGTAATTTAATCCTTCAGCTTCCTATATGTCCATACATATATCTTGCTAAAACACCCATTATTGTGCCAGATGAATATCTGCATTTACACTCTTAGTAATATTGATCTAACCTTTAACATTAGGAGCTATATTCAGAAATGCACAGCTATGACATTTTTGAAACTATTCACTAAATTAAAATATTGTGCTGCACACATACAGAGCAAAACTGACAGGAGATTGATGGAGGATGAATCAAAGGAAGACGTGCCTTCATATTGTTCTCACCCTCAAGTGCTGCTACAGGGGCAGCTTTTACAGACTCATGTGTACAAGGAATAGTAATGGCCATTGGTGTCTGAAAATAAAAGTGGTGTCAAAATAGATGGAGGTGAGATCCCCTCATCTCACCAACCCCTCTCACTACTTAAAAGGGCACAGAAAGGCACCATGTTCCGGAACAGTCTGCAAATATGTGGCAGAGTCACCCCAACTCTTGTGAAATATTCCCTCTGCTTTCCAAGTTGGCTGACTTCATTTTGGGCAAGCTTCTTGAAAGTTTGTTGCTCTCAAACTGCCCCACCACCTCTGGCACAGCCTGGATGTGCAGGGACCTCTATCAGATGCAATCAGCTATCGGCAGCAAGCTGCTAAAAAGCTGCTGCTCCTCAGTAGATGAACTGAGATCCTGAGCAAAAGCTACGTGAACCAAAGAGATTTCAGATGAAGACTGGGTGAACTTTTTATTTCCTTATATATCCCAGGCTCCTTTATGAAGTTCACATCTGTGAGTATTTCAAACTCAGCTAAATTTTTCATACTGACTCCATGAAATGCTGAGCATCTCCTTGTTCTCATAGCCTTGAAAAATACCTGGCACAAATGAATCCTGGGCTGAATTTTAGCACATTGTAAAACCCAAAAAGCATAATGAGTTCAGCATACTTGAAGATCCCAAAGCATTCTGGCCCAAATTATTTATGTAGTAAGCAGATGGCAATGTCATTTACTTGCTGCTGAACCAGAGCAGATTTCAACTACTGATCTAGCAGTGTAGCATCATTGCTGCCTACCAGTCCCTGCACCACTCAATCCTCCCAGGTACAATTGGTAGCTCTAGCAGTTGTGCAGCCTTTGCAGTGTCTGCTTTAGCTGCCTAGCCCTTCTGAATTGATAAGACTCTGCCAGAAACACATCAGGAAGACTTTTAAATAAATCCCTGGAATACTAATGATTTGAAAAAGGACTATGCATTTAATTGCCATCCTCTATGCCTCCCACCACCCTGTGAAAACGAGCATAAAAAATAAATAAAAAAAATTAAATAAAATGCAGTATTCATTTGTTGATGTCAGAGGAATAATTCAGTTAATACGGCTTCCCACTCAGTGCATAACAATATGTGAACTGCTGAATTCAGGTCTCTCAGCCTGCTTTGTCTATTGTAACTCTTTAATCTATGTACAGTCTGTATTATCCTTACTCAGCTCCATGGCCAGCACAGTGATGTTGTGCCAAGAAATATCCTCCCGGTCAAGAGGTCTTGCAGTCATCAGTGCTCCTGATGTAATGTCGACATAAAAGAACCGCCCTGGATCACTGCTCCTGTCAATCGAGTATCTGCAAGAGTACATATTAAAAATATTATGCAATCCTTGTGAAAACTGTTTGTTACAGCCAAAAAAGCTGTCCAGCAAGGGTAATACTGTCATACACAGCAGATCCACACTCTTCCATAACTTAGTTATGTGCTCCTTTGACTTGTACAGTAAGATGCTGGAAAAACTAGGAGTTCATGTGGCTAATGGCATTTAATGGAGAGTACTATTTGAATGGAGATGGAAGACAACAAGATTTAGAGGAAGAAGCCCTAAAGCAAAGCACAGCTTAGCACAGGAACATCTGCTTTGCAGAGAAAATCTGCCAGTGAGGAGTGTGATTTCTTTTTCTGAGCAAAATAATTATACCCATTTCTTAAGCACGATTCAGACAGGATGAAAATGACTTCACATCAGCTCGTTCTCTGAGCACCTAGGCTGATGAGAAGGAACTGTTCCCTTCCTTGTACTTCTGTATTCTCTCCTCTTTCAAGGGAATAAACTCCACCTGCATCCTGGAGCATCCTACTGATTGAGCTGTGTTAGCACAAGGGGGATGATGAGTGGCTTTCTCATATCATCCAGTCAGAAAAACAGCTCCATCTGTGAGGTTGATTCATCATATTTACCAAACCTGCCTGCCCGTTATCATGTCAGTTGAGTGCTGGGAACAAGCTTCTTGCACTGGTGAATGGGGGATTGTGGTGCTACCTGCAGGCCAGAAAACCTGGACAGGGAGGCAGCTGATTGACAGATATCACTGCTGTACTCAGTCATAGGGATGGTTTTGCAGGGTGTGTAAAATGCTCAGTACCCTTCATATGCATCAACTTGCTCTTAACAGCAGTTTGTATGAGTTGCCTTCCTAGATAACTGTTAGCATGGTAAGGGATCCTTTGACAAAAGCCACACATGTGCCTAGGTAATTGTCACAGTCTAAAATAGAGCCCAGACTTAGTGTCCTTTTTGTTGATTGTTTCATCAAAGTTAATGGGAATTGAAAGCTTTAATAGTAACAGATGATGAACAGGGATCATTCTTCTGAATTTTCTCCTTTCAGTATGAATGCTTTCACCGAAACAAGCATGCCAGTCTGGTCTTTATATAGGTACTTACTATACAAGGACTTACTAAACTGGGATATAAAATACTACTGAGATATGTTGTTGGCAAATTCTTTTACACTCTTTTTTAGAAAAATCAAAGAGGGAGGGATGGCTGGTTTGCATCCCTTTCCTTCCCAGTCCTTCCCATCTCTTCTTAAATAAAGAGATTTCTCAGGCATTTGATTTATTTGGGAAATAAGTACGAGTGTTCCTGTATTTTGCTATAATAATTATTCTTGTATGAGGGCTATAAAAAGAATTTCCCTCTGACAGTTTAAGGCCAACAAGTATCTGAAATTGAATAGGGCCTTGTGATTAGTGGTGTGGAATTAATCATCGGTGTCAAGAGGCACAGGTGGAGTCTTTTTCTGAATTCTCCACCTAGGTTCTCTTGTAATTAGTACCTGCTCCTGCACACTTGTTTCCCCTGTACTATTTAGATAATCTTCCTGAATCATTTAACAACAATCATGGAATATTTCCAGCCACCAGAATTTCACAATGTGAGAGCCAGGTACTGGTTGCTGAGAAAATGAGGATTTGAGAGTTCTGTGTTTTAGTGAGCCCTTCTGAAATATGTCTTGACTTCTCAGGCCTTGAAAAAATGACCAGATCACAGTTTTAATTTCAGATGGAATTCAGCTTATGCAACAAAGTATGTATCTGGGATTATTGTTTTTCTTATCTTGCCTTGCCCTGTTCAAGGTGAAGGCAGAGCAAGACAAAAACATTGTATACTGGGTCTGACTGAGCTGGAGTTCATTTCCCCACAGTAGCCCTCGCAGTGCTGTGCTTTGCATTGGCAGCTAGAAGGGTGTTGATAACACACCGGTGTTTTAGCTACTGCTGAGCACAACACCAACAGTGTAACATTCCTTCCTCAGTTGAGGGCAAGATCCTGGGAGTGGACCCAAGTAGGCCAGCTGACCCAAACTGA